GGTTGCATCCAAGTTCGTTGCCAAAGATGCGAGTGACGACTTACAGTGTTCACGGGATGCTATGCTGATATTGCTTGATCTCTCTTTCGACTAAGCCTCCTAGTGCTGAACGTGGCCCCTAGACTCTCGCTACCCTTTGCGAGCATGAGGCACTCCGCTTTCGGCGTCTAGGACAGGGCCGGGGTCTGTACCCGCTGTGCTTGGTTACCCGGCCACTGGTCCTCGCTAGTCAGAATCTCCCGCTCAGATCCGCATGGCGGCTTTTTTACATGGCATGGCTTTCTGTGAAACTCTTCGCTTTGGCCTGGCCTCCGGAGCAGTCGTGGCGGCCTTGGGCTTGCGATACTTGACGATGCCGATGGCGCCGCTGGGGTGCGTGTACCGCTGGGGCCGACTGAGGCGCCTCACATCTGTCAGTTGTAGCGCGAAGGTGCGTCTGTAAGGACGACTGTCACGGTCCCAGCGGTGCTGCGGGTAAAGCTGTCTCCACAGCTCGTCTGTTTTGATCTCACAAACGCTCTGAATGCGAGCTTGCCCGAAAATCAATCCTTTGCTCCCGAGCCACATAGTCCGTGGCTTCAGCCTCATTCCACGTATCTCTAGCGTTTTGATTCCCGACAGGATGAGTCCGAGCCATGGATTGCGAAGTATGAGGATGCCGTCCTTCTCCTTGGGGAATGCTGTGATCCCGGGATTAGGTTCGGCTTGCTTGTCGACTGTCCGAAACTCCTCCCAGAGCGCCTCGAAGTTGTCCCCTGCCTCGCTTGTCTCGAACCCGCGGAGCCAACTTTCCATTGCCTCTTCCGCCTCCTGCTTCTTTTGAGCTCGATAAAGCCAGGAATTGATTAGCGCAGACCGCCTCTTCGGCAGAGGCTGGCCGCGATAGCGTTCCGGGACTGGCGACTCCGGCGCAGGGCACTCCTCCTTAGGTTCATAATCCTTCCACATGTCCTCCGGATCGAAGCCGCATGCTTCGCTCGCCTCGGCATGCCCCATGTCCGACGCGGCGCAATCGAAGGCACTGGCCACGGCTCTTTTGAGGGACCTTTCCTCCCTCCAAGCTTCTGCAAGTGCATTCCGGTTGCGATCCTGCGAATGCGCACCGATTGCCGGAAAGCCT